TGCTGGATCATTTGGATACAATAAACAGCATTTTTAAAATAACAAATAAATTGCTGGATCATTTGGATACAATAAACAGCATTTTAAAGAGCCTCCATCCCTCATTTTTGCCTCTTACATCTGACTTCAAAACAAACCAACTGTTGGGTTTTGTTCTCTTCTGACCCAGAGATGGGGCAACTGAGAGGTGTTTTTAAAAGCTTTTATTCCATTTTCAGTCTCATATGAAGGGTTATAATTCACACCATCACAACCAAAAGCCAACTATTTCTTAATTACATTATAAGTGTTTCTTACAGTGCATCTTTCTTTATGAAAGGTGCATCTTTCATAGTTCATTTTTTCCAAAGCATCTAGTCTTATCTGAAAGGCCATCCTAAAAATGGAGACATATTTCTCTCTTTACAAGGCCTTTTAAGCCCAAACTGTTTAACTAAAAGCAATTATTTCTTAATTACAACACATTATAAACGTTTCTTGGCTTATCAGCTTTTGTCACATCATGCTGTAAAATGCCTTAAAGCCAATTATCTAAAATCACCCCTCTGGATTCTATCACAATGCATTTTTCATATTTCTATTTCTCCAAAGTATCTAGTTTTATTTTCAAGGCCATCCTTTGAAACTTTTTTCCAGCTCCATTTCTCTCTCCACAACATCTGTCCTCTCCCATGGCATTTCTGTGTCAGCATTTCTTATCTCCAAGTTTGCACCCAGATGTGTGAGCCTTCTGTCAGATCCTAAAAACTCTCCACAAATCCATTTCTCAAACCAACCATAAAAATAAATCCAAAGGAGTCCCTGGCAAAGTGACAGGAGCTGCCAGCAGCAGAGGATGCACCTCTGGGGGGAGGGAGAACAGCTCCACAGGGGTTTAGCTTTAGCACTGACATTGCTGATCCTCATGCCTTGGGTTTCAGCTTTTATATCTTTCACAATCTCTGCTGCTTAGTGTGTCACTCTGAAACTTCATGTGAGGTGTCAGTAAATTCTCTTCACAGGGCAGTGACAAAACAATTCCTTCCCAGCTGGAGAGTCAAGGACAACTGGCACCCAAAAATCATAAAAACAGCGAGGGAAAAGGGGCAAGGCAGGGGCTGAGATTTCATAGCCTGGGGCTGTGGTTGGATAATTGACCCCAAGATGAACCAAAACTGATAAAAGTGTAAAACTCATGACCAGGATCCATCTTGGATTTGATTTGGGTGTAGCCCTGGCCGGGCTCTTGCACTGCCCAAGGTGAATCCTTCCAATAAAGTCCTATTTTCTTCCTTTCAATCAATTCCTATTTTCTTCCTTTCAATAAATTCCTATTTTCTTCCTTTCAATAAATTCCTGTTTTATCCCTTTTGCTCTGTCTGGTCTCTGTTCCAGGCAACAATCCCCTCAAAGCCACATCCTCAGCAAACCAAGGAGGGAATTCCCATTCCTCAGGCCTCCAGCTTTCTCCACAAAGCTCAGCAAGTGGGATAATTCAGACAAACCATTCTCCAGCTGATCCTCCATGAGGACACTGATGTAGAATTCCTCTGTACATTGGATAATAGCAGCAGTGCAAGAGCCAACACTTCCATTAGTGCAGAACAAAGAATTCAGCTGCTGACATCATCAAAAGGCCATTATGCAAATGACCAGAACTTATTTAAAGTTGCTATTCTCATTAGATTACTCATTATTATCAGGAAAAGAAATGGTTTAGGTTCTTGAGCAGCTGAGCCCAGGAGGTCTGGAATGTGCAGATCCACATCCTCACCACGTGCTGTCCTAAAAGAACAGTTCCTCACTTCCAGCACAGCTTCCCTGGCATCCCCCTGCAGTCCCAGGGACTGTCCTTCCTTCCTCCCACTCCTCAGCACCTCCACCCAAACGATTCCTTCACTTCACCTTCTGTTCCTTTCCACACCCTGTGTGTCCCATTCCCAGCCCAAAGTCCAGATTTCTCTCCCTTGGATGGCCAGCATGGACATTTTTGGGAAGCAAGGCCAGGGAGAGCCCACGTTGCCTTCCAACTGTTCTCTCCCCCAACAGCTGAATTCTTGTCTTTTCCAGCTTGTGCCCCTTTCCAGCTGCCCATTCCCTCTTCCTTTAGTTCTTTTCCTGGAACTGAAATCTGCATTAAGCCCCACACTGTTACTCTCTGTGGGAATGCTGGGATCTCTCACAGAGCCCCTCAGCCAAGCTTTGCTCCACCTAAGCCAGAGGATGAAGGCAGCAGGAATTTTTCCTTGCAATCCCATTCCAGGGCTGCAAAGGGCTGCTCTTCCCATCTCCAGTGCCACCAAACCCAAGGATCAGGCACAGGAATGAGCTGGAGCCAGCAATGTCCTGGCTGTGCCTCTGACCTGTCCCAAATGAAACCTCCCAGGCTGTGTCCTGCTGGGAAAACCCCTCTGGGAACAGCACACTAAACATCCCTGTTTGCCCTTGCTCACCTGGTAATTTCTTTTCCAGTTGCTGCTGTTCTTCTTCCAATGCAGGTTCTTCTGGTAACCTTTGGTCTACAGACACTGAACTGGCAGCAGAGATGCCACTGCCAGAACGGACCCTTCTGCCAAGGAAACAGCAATTGCAGGAGCTTAACAGAGCCCAGGCCTACCCAAAGGGTTTATAATTGAATAATGAGATCAAATTAAATGCAGTGATGTCATGTTTAATGGTACTCAATGGTCAGTGTTGCCCAGAGGGTCTCACTCAGGCATTGCCTAAGGAGAATTGGATATTTCAGGATCCCAGCAGTTCCCTGGTGAGCTGAGAACCCCAGTCCCAAATTCTGCTTCCTGGTGGGTTCAACCCTGTCCACAAGATCTCTCACTTGGGGGGAGATTTTTCCCCAATCAGTCTGGGTTTGGGGAAATGCTAACTTAGACTACAGCAAAAATAGCAGAGACAGAGGAAGAGCTCATTATAGCCAAGCTAAAAGCAAAATCCCAGGTGGAAAACACCAAAATTGGGAATCTTTAGGAGGATACCTGAAGAACACAATATAAAAACATTTATTTCCATTGCTCTTACTGCCCTGCCATCTATTTCTCCACACAGAAGTGACATGGAGCAAGAGAAGTGAGAGTGAGCCCACTGCTCCCAAACCCAGCTGGACCAAGACAGGCCTGGATGTGGTGCAGAGCAAATCCACACTGGAATTCCAACACATTCCAACTGCTCTACAGGACCACAAACCTGAACTTAAATCTACATTTCTATGGTCAGACTGAGCAAGTTTGGAAGCTGTGCCAGCACAAACACCCACCCAAACCCTGCTCCTACAGGGCCAAAGGTGAGGGGTCACTGCTCAGTGTCCTGTACTCACAGAACCACCCCAAATGAAACCCAAAACTCAGGAGTGAGATTGCCAAAGGGATGAGCAGTTACCTGAAGGAAGGTGGGATGAACTCTGGGGGAAGTGCAGGTGGCAGGGGCTGACCAGACATTGCTACATCAATGAGGTGCATAGCCAGGATAAACTCCTCAGCTGTCAGCTTCCCATCTTGATCAATGTCAGAGAGATTCCTTGTTAAAGAGGAGAGACAAAGCAAGGAAATTATTAAATATTAAAAAATCACTGTTCAAAGGCATTGTTTCAACATATACAGTTCCAAATTAATTCAAATTTTTCACTATTTTTTCCACGCTACTCTGCTTTTTCGAAACAAATGAAAAGCAAACCCCAAATGCTTCCCCATTTCCCCCATTTCTCATGGCTGTGTGCCTGAAATCCAGCCATGGCTTCTCCTTCCCCTGCTCTGAGTGCTGCCTGGAGCACGTGCCAGAGAAGGAACTTGAACACCTTTGGCCAGTGGAGTTCTCCTGCATGTTCACATCTTGTGAACACCCAAAAGAACCAGCTCAGGTGTTTGGCAGAACTTTTCAGTTTGTTCTCCTTCCTCCCTGCAGGCTCCTATCTCACATTCCAGGGCACCCACTGGCAGGGAAATCAAAGCCATTGATGTTCTAGTCCTGACAAGCACCAACCCACCCTGGCATGATGCACAGAATAAAAATATAAAAATTATGGAGCAATGTCTCTGGATGGCCCCGAAGCAGAGCTCCAACAGAGGCACAAAATGCTTCCATTCCTGTTAAGGTGGTGGTGGACAAAATTAACAGCCAGGGACAGCACCCAGGGAGTGGCTGGAGCTGTTCCAGGAGGGATTTAGGATGGATTTTAGGGCAAGGCTCTTCCCCCAGAGGGTGCTGGGCACTGCCCAGGCTCCCCAGGGAATGGGCACAGAGCTCCAGGAGCTGCCAGGGATGCCCAGGCTGGGATTTTGGGGGGGTCTGGGCAGGGCAGGGTGGGACTGGGTGATCCCTGGGGGTTTATTCTCACTCAGGATTTGTTTCTCCAGCATGCTGCACTATAACCATGCAGGGAAATCTCCCATGGTAGGGTGAAAAATCAAAGGGAATAAAAAAGATAAATTCTTTGGAAGTCCCAATTCTTTGCTGATGGGATTTAAATCTGGGAGACAATCAGAGCCTCACCCAAGCCTGTGGCACCGAACTCCTCAGGCTGGAGCACAGGAACAAGCCAGGACAGTGGGAATGCCCCAGGCACAGAAGTGACTGATAGCTGTGTCCATGGCTGGGTTACAACTCCCCGACAGCACAAAGGCTCAGCATCAACTTCCCTTTGAGTGTCTGAGTGAGGGATTTCAGGCCAGCACAGGCTGACAAACCTCACCCCACACAGCAGCAAAGGCAGAGCAGGGCTCAGCAAAGGCCCAGCAAGAGCTGGAATGTCCCCTCCTGCTCTCAGTCAATGTCCCCAGATGAGTGAGTGCTGCTTGCAGCTCCTGCACTGAGCTGGTGGCAGCTGCCTGCCCACACAAGCACTCCAAGGCTGGCAAAAGCTGAGCATTTCTTGGTTAATCATCTGCTGGGGGACTGGGCTGATTTGTTCTTATCCCTTTGTTAGGAAACAGAGAAGCAAAGAGTGGTTTTTAATTTATAACACAACTCCCAGTGCTTTGCAAAGAGAACAAGTGCAGCTGAATGGCCTTGTCAGAGTGACTGCACCACTGCCATCCCCACACTGAGCCCTGGGCCAGCTCCAATGCTCCTCAAAAAAACACCCCTAAAGGACACAAGTTAATTAGGAACAACTTGCCATGGGGCAATAAAAACATAATAAAGTTCAGCAAACAACAAGTTGGAAGGCAAAAGGGAAGCTGAGACAAATCCTTTTAAAATCCATTATTGTAAAGGTCTGTGAGTCCAGGCCCTGGGAAATCAGCCCTCCTAAACCCATGGAAAAGGCAAAGAAATCTCACAGAAAGTGTGATGTGGGTTAAGTTCCTGTTCTAGCACCTGTGCAAAGGTAAATGTTTCCCTGGTGTCCTATCAGGGGATGTGGAAGGCACAGGATGCTGAATATCTGCTCTGCCTAAAAACCCAGCACTGAACCCCAACTTCCAAAACATCACACAAAAGATGCTCCTGGTGCTCCTGTGGAATAATATAAGAAAGGCATGGAAGTGCAGCTTTTGTTTATAAGTTACACATGACAATGTGTGAGACTGAAAGTGGAGAAAACCCCCCAGACTCCAGTGCAGAGGTTTCAGAAGAGTTTTTGTTTTGATGGAAATGAAACATTTATTTTACCATATTGTAGCCAGCTGAGCCTGGGGTAAACTCGACTGCATGAGAATCGTTCTTGCTTGGGGACCTAAAAAAGAGAAATAAATATTAACAAAGGAAGCAAGAGATGTGACCAGCAGGAACTTGGCTCCCCCACATAACCAAAAATAATATTTCACTTCTGCACAACAACCACAGAATCCCAGACTGGTTTGGGTTGGGAGGGACCTCAAATCCCACCCAGAGCCAGCCCTGCCATGGCAGGGACACCTCCCACTGTCCCAATGTCCAACCTGGAACTGAACATTCCAGGGATCCAGGGGCAGCCACAGCTCTGGGAAACCAAATCACTCAGATTAAAACCCAAGAAACCACTAAGACATGCACCAGAACTGGTAAAATCAAGCCAGGGGACCAGTCTAGTCTGGACTTGGACCCTGCTCTCAGCAGTGGGTGAACCCACCACTGGAAATGGCTGCAAAGTTTTCCCAGAACACACTGTGCCCTTTTCCAGAAACATTTCCAAAGGTCAACTTTGCAGAAAAGAAAGGAAAGACGGTGATAAAATGATCCCAGCTGTGATGAATATTTACTTTTAAACAAGAGCATTAATCACTTGGGAGATTGAAACAGAAAAACACTGATGAATCTTTTCCTATGTGAACAACCCCCTCATGGCATTGAATTGGCTCTTACAGCTGCAAACAAGGAGACAACAGAGGCTGTGCCAGTACCTGTCAAGTGTCCACTCATGGTTTTGTCGTGGCTGTTGAAGAGCTGCCGGTACTTGAGGCGTGAGGATTGAGGCACAGCCCACTCTGCCACAGCAGGAGAGCTGCAGGGACAGCAGGAGAACAGGGACAGTTGGGAATTTCATCTCAGGAAAGCAATGGGAACAATCACAGAGTGTAAATCACACAAGGGTTTGGGTTAGAAGGGATCTTAAATCCCACCCAGTGCCACCCCTGCCATGGCAGGGACACCTCCCACTGTCCCAATGTCCAACCTGGAACTGAACATTCCAGAGATCCAGGGGCTGCTCTGGGAATTCCATCCCAGGGAACAATTCCTAATTCCTAAAATCCCATCAAATCCTGCTTTGAAGCCATTCCCTGTGTGCTGTCCCTCCATCCTTGTCCCCAGTCCCTCTCAGCTCTCCTGGAGCCCCTTCAGGCCCTGCCAGGGGCTCTGAACTCTCCCTGCAGCTTCTCCTGTCCAGGTGAGCACCCCCAGCTCTCCCAGCCTAGCCCATAATACTCTCACCAGTGGCCTCTACACCTGCAAATACTTTGCTTTAGAAGAGATAAACCTTTCTATGAAGAAGCACAGACAGACCCTCAGTGGGTTCTATCCCTGGCCAGGAAAATGCAGGAGAAGCAAAGATCACCCTGCAGGAACCTCAACCCTCACAAGATGCTGAGGGGCTGCACGGACACCAAGTTTTGTGCCTGAAAATGTTCTTTTTCCCGATTTTGCTCTGAGGATGGGAGCTACTGAGGTGCCCAGAGCAGCTGTGGCTGCCCCTGGATCCCTGGAATGTTCAGCTCCAGGTTGGACATTGGGACAGTGGGAGGTGTCCCTGCCATGGCAGGGGTGGCTCTGGGGGGGATTTGGGGTCCCTCCCAACCCAAACCATCCCATGATTCCATGATCTAATATTTCCTGCTATTCCTGAAGCCATCACAGGTTTGATCTCTTGTTTGCTGACATTTACCACAATTCAGTCTCTTGGAAGATGATTTTTTTTTAAGAGTTTTGCTTTCTTCTTTACTGGCAGAGAATGAAGGAACTTCAACTGTTCAGAGGAGCTCCAAGCTTTTACCTAAGCATGTAAGAGGAAATGCAGAATAACATCCCATTTCACTCTGCCTTTCACTGTTTCTCTTAGCCAAATTAAGCTGATGAAGGAAAACCAATGTAAAATATACTGGAAATGCAGGAAAAAAAAAAGTGTGTAAAAGCCACATTTGAACGTTAAGTTTGTCATAATGGAACTCAAGTGAGCAATGTAATATTCCACTTTTAATCCATTCCCATTCCTGCTGGGTTGATTTTCAGCACTAATTTCCCAGGCTTGAAGGCTGAGAAATCCTAATTCTGAACAACAAGGAGCAGAGTTTTTCTGCCTTTAGGCACATTCAGACTTTGTCCTTTTTTTGACCTTTTAAACCATTCTCACATGACAAGACACAAACCAGTATCTCTATTTCTATTTTTGATTTCCAAACTCTTGAGCTTTAATAATACCCCCTCATGGGAGCAAAGCAAAACAAGCTGTCCCTTCAGTAATGAAAATAAGAAAAAAAGGCTAAATATTAAATTTTTATCTATAGGAATTCCTCCTCAGTTTTGCTGGATTTGGGGGTTCCACACATTTTAACCTCTGTATTACACATACATTATATCAGAGCATCCCCATTCTGTTCCTGGCTGGTTTAGATTTCAGAGAGAAAATGAATTGTTTGGAAAGACTTTTAATTGTTTTACTAATAATTATTTTAGTTTATTATCATTTAATACTGAGTAGTGTCACTTATCTAGTAGCAGGGCAATAGACAAACCTGCAGATGGAAATGAAAATAAAACCAGATCATTTAATTGTGTCCCAAGCCATTTTTCTCTGTGCCATAGATCTGTGAGACAGATGATTTAAAAGACATTGGGAAATCCTTCTCTTACCTCCTCTAAGGAAATTTTGTTAGATCCAATTTTTTTAAACCAGAGTAAAACCCTTTTTGCCCAATCACTTGGAATAATCTAAAAGCCCTTTAAGTGATTTTTCACACAGAACTTGAAGAATAAAGAAGACTCTGTAATGTGGAGTGCCTTTAAAATATGAGACCTATTAAATATTTTGCTTTTAGCAATTACCCAGGAGTTGCTAATTTTGAGTTATGTATTACTTGTCTTGTTTGCACAGTAGCAGGAGTGTGTGTGCACGATGCAGGGTTTGTTTATGGAAGCGAATGCTGTTCTAAAACTCAAGTGAAGATCATGTCAGTGGTTAATAATTTTATTTCCATGCCTCTCTCTGCTCCTGGAGCATTCCCTGTTAGGCCACAGCAGCCCATGCAATGCTGGAGTGGTACCTCTGCAGGATTTCTGCTACAACTGTTATTCCACACGAGCACTTTGGGAAAGGGAAGGAGATTTCCCACCTGGCCACGTCGAAGGATTGTGCCTTTTGCAGCTTTGCATTGAGCTGAGCTCCGGGCCCCGAGCGGTTGAAGGAAGAACTCTTTGGCAAAGTGGCTGGCAAGAGAGAAAACAGGGATTTATTGCTATTCACAGCCAGGCAGGCAATTCCCATGACATTCATTCAGCTCCTGCATCAGCTACAACCACTGTGGCTCTGATGGGAACTTTTGAACAATACAAAGATCAGAGCAGAGGGAAACACAAGAGCACTTCCCTCGTATCTTTTTACTTCCACGGCTTTATGGAAACCCTGTTGATACCAAATCATATTTTGGTAAAAGTTAAAAACCATATATAGTTCAGTATTAAAGTGACTCTAACAAACAGCAGTACTTCAGTAGCTACAAAGAGGCAGGAGAGGCCCAATTTCCAGGCAGCAGTTTCCTGGCAAGTTCATTTCTCCAAGTGCTGTTTTATTTTCTCACCACGAGGGACTCCTGCGGGAGGCCACGTCCACATTCCTTCTTTTAGCTCTTCTCCAAGCGTGCCAAGTGGGCTAAAGCAAAGCACAGTCCTTCCCCCAAGGCACCGCTGGGAGTGGCTAAGTGCAGGAGTCCCGGGGAAGGGCAGGGCAGCTGTTTGTTAGGAGCAGCGTACCGGGGTGAGCGAAAGCAGGCAGGGGCTGGATGACAGCAGGAGCTCCGTTAGCCAGGGGAGGGACGGCGGCAGGGACAGAGGACACCAGAGGTGGGGACATCCCCACGACTGGGATGGATGCCATGGGCACACTGCTGAGGGATGGCATGTTGGCAATGCCCCCGAGACCTAGGGGTGAGAAAAGCACAGGTTGGTTTTTTTGTGACGCTCCAGACGAAGCCTGCAGGCACTGCAGGGTCACTGACACCTCCGGGGGCAGCTCCCGACCCCCTGGCACAGCCCTCCCAGCCCAGGGCAGCACAGCAGGGACAGGATGGGACACGGGGCACAGGGACGGCCCCAAACCGCCCAGCAGCACCTGCTGAGAAAGGAATTGTGTGCCTTGACCTGAGTGAGGAGCAGTGCTGGCAGCCCAGCGAGGGGCACAGAAGCTGCAGGATTAGTGCTGCAGGATTAGTGCTGCTGCCTTGGGCTGGCTGAGACAGGACAAAGCTCATGGGGACAGCACAGGGAGCAGAGGCTCAGGGGGAAGCAGAGCTGCAGGAAACCTGGGAGGTTAAGGAGGTGCCAGGGGAAGAACGAGGGGTGTGCAAACAGCTCACATCAACCTACAGGGATTGGGAATAGGGGAATTCATCATTGGGCTGGGGTTTGTGGGGCTTCCTTGCATTTTGCCTTTTTTCACTTAACCCTGTATTTCCTCTGCCCAGTTTCACTGCTTTCTTCCAAAGAATTTTATTTCTGACTATAAAACTTGTGGGGGGGTCACAGTGGATGAAACCACACTGCTGTAAGCAGTTTATCAAAAGCACTGCTCCTCTTCCTCAGGACATTCAGATGGGATTTTGGGCAGGAATTGTTCCCTGGCAGGGTGGGCAGGGCTGGCACAGGGTGCCCAGAGCAGCTGTGGCTGCCCCTGGATCCCTGGCAGTGCCCAAGGCCAGGTTGGACACTGGGACAGTGGGAGGTGTCCCTGCCATGGCAGGGGTGGCACTGGGTGGGATTTAAGGTCCCTCCCAACCCAAACCATTCCATGACTCCCAGGCACCAATAACCCTGAGACACAGCAAAGACTAAAGCAGAAAGGGAATGAACCTCTCACAACAGGACCAAGGTGTCAGAGGTTTGGCCTTATTATTTTCCTTTCCCCATCCCATCTTCCCTACTCTTTTGCTAGAAATGAGGGTGACTTTGGCAATACTTCACCCCAGCAGTCGTTCAGCTCCTGCCAGAGCAGCACTGCTCATCAGAGCACAAGGTGCAGGGATTGTAAAAACTCAAGAACAACAGAGCAGATCTTGCCAAAGCTGGAGATGCAGTAATGCCAACAGTTTAAAGCACAATTCCAGCCCTTTGGAATGCACCAGCCCTGCCACCTGAGCCATGTTTGGTTTGGAGCAAACAGGAGCTCAGCTCAGGTAAAAGCTCAGTGCAATTTGTCTCAGTGCAAGTGCAACATCTGGCTTTGAGTCTGTGTGCTTTTAGCCCTTTTACCTAAACTTTTCTTGGAGAAACTACAAAAGGACAATGGAATTGCTGCAGTCCCAGGTAAGAATGAAGAAAACAGAGGAAAAAAGAGGGATCTTACCAAATCCTGGGGCAGCAGGCAGGGCGAGGGGCGGCTGCTTCATGACAGGCGGCAGCGTGGCTGGGAGCTGGTAACCCTGGAGCTTCAGCTTGATGAGTTTCATGGCTATGGAAAACTCCAAGGGATCCATCCTGCCATCATTGTTCATGTCAGCTAGAGCCCTGCAAAACAGTGCTTTCATTTCACAGTTCCACTCTGCAATGGGGAACGTCAGGGCCCTGCCCCAGGAGCAGCTCACACAGGGATGGATGAAGGGAATGGAGCCCCAGGAGGGGCTGGGGGAGCTGGGAAAGGGGCTGAGGCTGGAGAAAAGGAGGCTCAGGGGGGACCTTGTGGCTCTGCACAAGTCCCTGGCAGGAGGGGCAGGGAGGGGGGGTCGGGCTGTGCTCCAGGGAACAGGGACAGGAGGAGAGGGAACGGCCTCAGGCTGGGCCAGGGCAGGCTCAGCTTGGACAGCAGCAGGAATTTCCCCAT